TCTAACATCACCACTTATACTTTCTGCAGAAGTGTCCTGAATGCCAGCTGCAGTGGTCAGTGTTTCCAGGAAGTCAAACACATTTCTGCAGTGAGCATAGGAAATGACACTGCTGCCACATCATAGCTAACTTCACAGGCATTCTGACCAAAAATCACATCTCTCTACTGCAAAAATATCTTTTACAAAGTGTTATAGCAGGCTGAAAGTAGAATAAAATTTAGTGAAAGCCAATGTGTTTTAACTTCTAATCTAGCAACTGCAGGAGAAGGACTTTATGACCCACGCCTGTAACAGATTAAATAACTCGGTAAAACTTAAAAGACTGTAGTAGAAGCTCAACTTTGGCCAGACCTTCTGCTTATCACTTTGAGTGTCCAGCTGCCTGCTGTTTTCAGAGAAAGGTACCTCATTAGCCACTGTCAAGTAAATAGATGCTATCATTTTTCTGGCTCAGAAAATAAAAATTAATTAACATTAGAAACAAGTTGCTAAAAAGCTACTCATAGTCACTCACAGCAATTATAAAAGAGGACAATTTTAAGGTCACCATTCTGTTAAGGCAAAATATGAATTGGCAATAACAATGTCATCAACAACAGGCTGGAACAAATACCTACATCTATGCTGAAATTGGTCACCTGCATAGGAAGGCAGATGCATGCCACACCTGGAGTTACAAGATGTGTTAAGGAACTAAGCTATCTCAAGCTGATAAAGAAACAGAAATATCAAGAAGCCAATGTTATCAGACATCATAAACAAAAAGCATGTCATCTTGAAAGTGCTCTGGATCACATTATTGGGCCTTAAAATGTCTAGATATCTATTGTGAGCAGGCTGCAACAGAACAAAACCTGGTCTAGCCAGTCTTTTTATTTCTGTAATAATACAGGAAAACTGTAACCATGTCTACTTAAGCATTTATCACCAACAAACAATTCTGACAGAACTAAAATATAATCATTCCTCCCGCAGGCTAATGAGAGAATGGCTGGAGCTAAATGGTATCCCATAATAATTTTACGTGTATGAAGTGTTCCATTTCATTTAGTGATATTATAAAAGTGATGCATTGGCCATAACGTTTACTGTTTACAATCTGCAGCAAGCTATACCCTTCTCAAGGGAGATTAAGTAATCAAGAAAATGTTATTCACACTATGTATTTGAGAAAAATAGATCACTGTGCCAATTACAGACTCTTTCCTATACCAAAAAGGATGCATGCTAGCCTAGAAAGAAGACAGGAAAGAGTGAAGACAAGAGATTTGTTTGCTTCTCAAGTGAAAAGGAGGTCATACAATCATGCACTGAAGAAGTTTTGCTTTAGTCCAGCAAAGCCTGAAGAGGAAAAATACCAAGAAACGCTAGTTTTGAGTAGCTGCTGAAGACACTTCATTATAACCAATCTTAAAGCTCTGAAAAACCATACAGTGACTCACAGCACTACAAACAGAAAGATCCAGTAGTAGTCAGATTGCAATTTTGTTTCCAGAGTATCCATTAGAGGCAAATACTTTTTTTAATGATAGCATGTCTTTAAAATATTCTTTGTTAATATTGCTTATACACCATTTTCCACTAAAAGATCACAGTGATCGATACAGGCTGCAGGGAATGAAGTGCAACATCTCCAGTAAACAGATGCTACATTATTCATTTCACAGATAAGTAAATGCAAGTATGAAAAATTAAGTGACTTGCTCTAGTCAGAGAGCCAAAAGCACAGCTGTGAATCTCATCCAGATACCCCAGCTTCCAATGATCCATTAACCACTAGACATTAGCCTTTCTGAAACAAAATGTAACCTTTTCCTCACATTTTGCCCTCCTTCTAACAAGTCTGGCAAAGCTAGTACAGGGGCTGCTCACGTGGCTGACTTTTAAGAAACCAAAATCTTAGAAATAAACCAAAAATTATTAAAATATAAGCTCAACTTTACCAGATGGATTACAGAACTCCCAAACCCATCACTGCAGGGCTCAGTTACCTGTCTCTGCCCTTCCAAGAGGAGGGTCAGCAATAGCTCTCAGATTAAAAGCTGCTGGCCAGACACAAGCTTGGTGGGAGGTATCAGGGTCACACATCATCCCAGAAGAACACCTGCTGCAGTCCTGATTCACAGCAGGCACTTACACCCAGGAGCTGCCAGTGCTGCATCCAAACAAGAGGAAGAAATGGATGGGATCATCAGGGAAACATATACTGGCCCAACAGCTGCTTCTCCACATGTCCTGTCTGACATGCCCAGATACCTTTCAGCTGCCTTCTTCAAGGCTCTCGGCACAGGCATTGCATTGCAACAGCCTAGCGAGCCAAAGCTTGGCAAAATGTTAAAAACACTCATCAACACCCTGGTTACACTAAAGGCTTTCTGTGTGGTGGCACTTATGTCCTATGCTGTCTCAGCTCAGAACTTATTCCATGCAGACAAGCATTGATAGGGAACCCACTGCTTTAAGAAACCTTTAATGGTCTCAGGAAGACTTCAAAAGCTGGCAAAGCCTTTAGGCAGGAAGGGAGGGTAGATACAAAACCACTGATGACAAAATTCCACCAGTCAATGATGATTAAAGAAAATTGTTTAGACCTGACAGCAAACAATCAATTTGATTGTCACCACTTATAACCTCAAAAATAAATGAGTAGAAACTTGAGAAACAGCACATGCAACTAATCAATTTTACAGCACATATTTTTCAGTAGTTTCCACAAATACAAAAGTCTCCTTAAATGCTGGAGTACTTCTCAGATATATATAGCATTTACTCACTCAGAGTCTCAAAGATTAGAGTTCCAGAACATATCAATCACTTAAGTATTTTTTTAAAAAATCACCAAATAAAATATTTTAGATATCCTTGCTTTAAAACAGTTGTCTGAACACACAACAGGAAACCTTTATTACTTTTTAAGAATGAGTAATGAGACAGATTTAAAAGTATTAAAAAAAATCTTAGTATTGAAAAATCATTACCTGTTTCCTAAATTGCTGTGATAAGTCAGAGCATAGATCTCTGATTCAAAACTAAAATCACTCACATTTACATTGAAACATACAACACTTAAATCTCAGAAATGAATTATCAAGATCATTGAGGAAGCATATGGTCAAATTTCACCTTATTGCAACATCACACCATAAAACAAGGTGTGCAAGGTACAATTTGTGCATTACTGTGGGTGTACTAAAACTTGTCAGCAGGATATTAACTCTTCTTACAACACAAAGGTCAAGGCCATTTTGAAATCCATCTGCAACAAAGCCCTTGGAAATACCGGTGAAACCAAGTAAGAAGGTCCAAAGTAAGGGCACAGGGTTTCAGTTTTATGTGAGTAAATACTTCTTCTTTCCAGCACAACACATCAGTTTAGTAGTGTACTCTGAAACATATATGAATTTTTAAAATGAATGTCTTTAATCCTGCTGAGCCTGGGCATGAGTATATCCCTACTGCTGTTCCACAAGCCACAGGCTTACAGAATTAACCCTGAAGCAGCCCACTTAAAATAATAAAAAACCCCAACAAACCCTTACAACATCACAGCTCCACCACAAAATTTCCAACCATGCCCCAAAATTCTGCATTTAAAATTCCCAAACAAACCAGCAACTCTACCACACATTGAACAGGCACTCTAAAGTTCCACTTTAGCACTGCAGGTCTCTGTGACACTTCTGTGACTGCAGTGCAAACTTAAGAGCCCAAACACATTGTGCTTCACTCCTTCTATTCCCTCCATTCCATCAACTGACCTTACAATGACAGAAGAGCATTTTCTTCTCATCCCTCCCCTTTATCACAACCTCCAGTTATAAAAAGTTCAACAAAATCCACTCCACCACCATTTTCTAAAGTCAGGTATTTTCCATTTTTATTAACAATTTCATTTCTTTCTTGCAGAAAAGTCTACTCAATGCCAATGTCTAAATCCCCCTTCCTCAAAATAATGTTTCTCTAAAAAAGCTGTTTGTCCCCTTTACTCATTTTGTTCACTCAAGACAACCAGATTTAGAGACAGAGAGCTTGAAAACAAATCTTGTTTTTGTATCGTTACAACACTGTGGATTTGCCAAGGACCACTAAAGAGCTACAATTTCCAACAAATGCTCATTTTTGTCTTACACCTGTTAAAAAATACTGTGCATACTAAACTTGGATTCAGTTAATGTTGCTATAGCTGCAGTTATAGCAAACACAGATCAACCAAACAAAAAACACCAAAAACTCCAAAACCAAACAAAAATCACAACCAAACACTCAAATCCACAACCAAAAGTGAAAAATTGCCCTTTTATTCATCCACTTCTATTTTTTCAGAAAATTGCACTTTTATTTTTTCCTTCGTTTTGGTAAGCGTCTGAAGTTTTATTGTATAAAAAACTCACTGCCAATCAGTTCTTGTTTTACAGTCAAAGAAAACCTGCTCAACAATCCAAATTTCTGCTTGTGGCAGGAATGCAAGACTTCCACTAGTATGCCTTAAGAATGAAAGAGTGGATACACTGCTTAGCAACCCTAAAATACTCAACCCACAAAAACTTGCAGCTCCCAGCTGGATATTCCAGAACACTTGGTAACAAAATACACAATTCCGAGAAGGGTTATTCCGAGCTTTTAAACTGAGTAGTCTCTCTGCTTTTTCCCTTGCTTTCCTTGCAATATAGTTCTTAATTATAACAGAACACAACACTGTTAGCGAGGCAGCCGCACTTACTTTCCAAGGGAGTTTTCTTTTTTTTCCCCCGCACCGCACGGGGGAAGCGCCGCACGTGGCGACACAAGGAAGCAACTTCCGAATGACAGCGGATAACCGCGGGGAAAGCCTGTCACGGCAGGGAACCGAGGATCCCGGAGCGGAGGCGAAACCTCCCGCCCCCGAGGCAGCCTTGCCCTGGGGACACCCCTCTCACGGCACGAAGCCCACAACTTCCCAGGAGCTCTGCCGAGGCTCCCAGCCCCGCCGTGCCCCCACGGCTCCCACCGGCGCTTACCGGGCGGTGTCGAGCAGCGGGTGCTTGGTGCCCACCAGCTTGCGGACCTGCATGGCGATGTTGCTGAGCTCGTCGCTCAGCAGGCACCGCAGGCTCATGAAGGACGTCGGGTACCCCACGATCTTCTCGGCCTCCGACACCACCTGGCTCCAGGGCGGGCCGCCCGAGGACAGGCACCGCAGCCCGCCGCCGCCGACCCCGCGCCGCAGCAGGGCACCCCACATGCCGCCTCCCCGAGGACGCTCCGCTCTCCCACTGCGAGCTCTGGCGAGGCCCCGCACGCCGAGCGGTCGCGGACGAGTCCCGCTGCCGGAGGAGCGCCCCGGCTGTGTCCCGGCCGGCCCTGCCCGTGCCCCGCGTTCCCCCCAGAGGCGGCGGACGGAGCGGGCTCATTGTGCCCTGGGGGCGGCCATCTTGGGCGTCGCAAAGCACGGCGCGCCGTAAAGCGAGGGCGGCGAGGCGGGCGCTGCGGACGGGCGCTCTGGTGCCCGCAGGCAGCGAGTGGTGCCCGCTGTCCTCCGCCTTCAGACATCGCGGGGGGAAAGCGCCGCCGCTTCTCTTCCCGCTCTGTCCTTATGCTCTCCCAGAGCCGTGGCGGAGGGTCCCGCTGGAGGGGGAGCGCTCTCCGCGGCTGGTCTGGTGCCCCACAGAGAGGGAGGTGATCTGCCTGCGCCCGGGGTTGCTGCGGGGACCAGCGGGAGAGAGAGGTCAGGTCCCACCTAAAGTGTTTGGCCCGTAGTCTTTGTAATAAGTTGCCCAGGGAGGAGATGGAAACACCAACCGTGGGTGTGTTCAGGAGGCACCTGGATCTGGCATTGATGTGGTTTGGGGGCGACAGTGCTGCTCTGATGCTCGGACTGACGGCTGATGTTCTGATCTAGACGGGCTTTTCCAACCTTGATGATCCTATACTTCTATAATTACAGTGCGTGGGCATTCTTTTTTTCCTCTTCCCGGAGTTGTCTGGGGCATGCCATCAACCGCCCTTATTTATTGCGTGCCCTTGCACTGTAGCTGTGCTGTACGGTGCTCTGCTGTGAGCCAGCCAAGGGCTTATGAACAGCCTCCTTGGGAGCTGAGGAGGCACTTTCAACCGAACACTGATCAAAAGGGACAGCTAATTTTGAGTGCCCAAGTGAAGACCTCAGGGTCCCACAGTTCCGCAGAGGGGGCTGCTGTATATTGTGTAGTTTCCTTAATTCTGGGCACAGCCGTCACCAATGCCTCTTTGCAGGTACCTGCCCCCAAAACTTTTGTGAATTCGGAGAATAGACTTAACAGAGGGGAAAAATTCACTGGCCGTCTTCAGAAATTGGGTTCCAGTGACTTCTTCCTTCTCCCAAGGGAGATTATGATGCGTTCTGTCTTTACAATCACTGACATCCATTCCTTCTATATCTTCAAGGCTTTGTTGCAACAAATCAGGCAAAATTTTGAGGAGAAAACTGTTCTGTTGACTACATTCCTGTTGAAAAGGAGGGTGTTACATTTCTTATCCTTGGAAATACAAGATACAGATCACTTTCTTTTGTTTGCATTATTTAAAGAGAATTACATTGAAGGATACTACTGTAAAAGAAGATGCAAATAGAAAACAATCCCATCACAAAGAAAGATGTCTAGGAAAGCACAATATAACTCTTGCAGTTGCAAGGGAGAAGCTGCTAAAGAGGAACACACTTACCTGTGTTTCAATAACTATAAAAATATGTTTATTGTTCTGACACCTGAGACAACTCCAAAATTCTAAAAGGTACTATCCTAAGGAAGGGCTTTGTGGACTCAACAACACCTGGACATGCCTGTGGCATCTCACAAGTGACCTCTCCCAATGGAGAGGGGAAAAAACCTCTCCAGAGAAATAGAGAAAACCCATGAGAACTGGAAAGGTAACTTAAGAGTTAATTTTCTGGTGTCAAATCTTTACTTTCTGTGCTGCCTGTCTCTGAGAGAATAAAGCTTTGCTTTGCAGGAGCTGCCACTGAGACAGTTTCCTTAGCTGGTGTCACAGAACAAACTGTTGCTAAATAGGGAGTTTCAGCTCATAAACACAGTTTAGAAATGACAGAATGCAGTGGCATGTTTCTGTGCAGAAAGCCTAAGTTAATGAAAATTGCCGGAGGGATGCACTTAAGAGGAGCTACTAAGGCACCTCATCCTGTAACAGTGACAAGTTCCTTGATTCATTTCCTGAGCCATATCCATTCTTGCACTTAATGTGGTTAGTGTTCTGTGAAAAACTTAACATGATTATACAATTAAAGTCTGCTTAAAATAATACATAAACTGGGGAGAATTAGGGTTCTATGGGCAATAAACCTACCATCTCCTAATGTGCGAGACTTTAACTTTTTAAATTTGCTGGTTTTTATGTTATTCTGGATATCTGAATGCCTCTGCACTCTTTATGTAGAATTCTTCTAAGTCCAAGTGATTTAGAACTAGGGCAAGACCCTTGATATCCACAACACTGCACACTATCACTAGGGCTTCCTCAGGATTCACCATCAGTAGGTTGATGTTCCTTAAAAACAGCAATCATTAGAGGAATAAAGCAAATATTTTGTCAGTAATTTTCCATCTTTTTTTTTTTATTATTTCTTGACCACAGAGACTCTTTGAGAAGATTGTACTGTAATACCTAAGGACTTTCTGACTCTCACTCTCAGCCCAATGCCTTCCTCCCTCTCCCTTCTCTTAGCAGCCTAAGAGTCTTACTTCAGTAGTTGATTTTTGACTCCTGGTCCAAGTTCATAGTTTCTTTCTCCCAATATCCTCACTTCTTTGCTTCAGTCCCACACACCATCCCTACAGGCTACTGTTCTTTCAATCTTGTCACAGCCTTCTTGTTTCACCGTCAATAATCCTCTTGTCTGCATACCCTGCGTCCTAATCACAGGCTCTTCCTGTTATATGTGTTTATGGGTGAGACCTTCCAAATCCTTGGCAAATCTTTTGCCAAATTTCAGGTTTAGAGCACGGAGAGTTTCTCAGTCATGCAACCTAATGATATTTTTTAGCACAAGGAGAATGTATTTTTTTGCTAACCTCATTTTTCAAACTGAGTGTACTATTTTAAAAATCAGCTTCAGGCTGGCACACCAATCACAGGAAAAAATCATTACAAATTAGCTAATATTTGACAGTTACCAGCATCAAAAGCCAGGGCCCTATAATAGGCAATGATGGACCAACTTACCCATAGGCATTGCTGTTTGCACTGCCTGTTTCTGAAACAGAGCTTCTCAGTTTTCCTCTCAAAAAAACCCTATCAGAAGCAAAAGTATGATCTACTTACCATATCATAAGTTGTGTACAAAACCACATGCTTTTTTTCTTTTTTTTCTTTGCTCATTTCCCCTCAGGATTGGAGAGAAAAATGTGCACTATTTCAAGAACTTCAGTGACTGTACAATAGACATGTCTATTTCTTTAGAGTCTTAAGCAAAGAAGAAAACTGAAACTCTTTTTTTTTTCTGTATCAATTGACTTTTTAAAGCCTCCCCAGGAGGAGAAAGGAGCCACTGGAGGGGGCCAGTATCAAAGCTGAAGAACAAAGATGACAGGTCAAGAGACACTTCTGTTTACATCAGCATGCTCTGGACCAATGTACCAGAGAATACATCAAAGCCACTACTAATGCCAGCTCTGAATCTCTTTGCTAGCAAATGAAATGTGGAAATATTTTCCTGACTGCCATCTAAAACAATTGCAAAGCACTCTTGTTTGATTGGGAACATTTGAACTTTCAATTTTTCATAGTTACCCTGGCCTTATTCAGAACAAATGATGTTTATAGGAGAATGAGACTAGCGATGTTATATATTGTAGTAACTGTAACCTGTCTACATGACCAAATCTTCTAGATGCTGCTTAATTTTTTAATATGTTAAATCCCAGGTGCACTCTAAGACTGTTTACAAAAATAAAAGTGAACAGAAATATGCCTGTTCCTTCCAAAGCACCCATTTAGTTGTTGTTCCCACAAACACCCATTCCCCCCCTCACCTTTCCCTCCTCCCAAGAACTGATTTACTCCATGGCATCCTGGGAAAGCAGAGAGTTATGATCATTTCTATTTTGGAAGTCAGGAGGTTTAACGCAGAGGTTGTGTGATTTGTCCAAGGCTTTGCAAAAGCCCTAAGGCAAACTGAGAAAAGAATCCACTTCTCTTGACCTCCTTGTCTGTGCCTTGTCTGCAAGGCTGCCTGTCTTCCTAGCAGCTGACAGAACTACCGACAAGGGCGAAGGCCGTATTGATCCTGTAGTTAGACACTGAAAAAACACCATCATTTAGCATCAGTTGGTTCCAGTAGGAGTCACGTCCCTTTGACAGAATTTGACACTTAGAAGTATTAATTTTTAAGTCTAATTATACCTACTGTAATACCAATATCAGAATTTGATACGTTGCTGGTAAATGATTGGTAACAAATGCAAAAGATTTTTTCAAAACAAGTAAATATAGCTGTGACACATAGGGATGCTTTGCCAGAGAAGGTGTATGTAACTCTTTTCACCCTGCACACCAGGCTCAGGGGTAGAGTAGCTCATCAGGGATACCGTAGCTCATCGGTACATGGCGCAGATGGAAAGCCAAAGATCCCACTGGGTCTCAGCAGTGCCACACGGGCAGTGGGACAAACCCCTCCTGTGCCCTCAGAACGCAGCTGCCTCCTCACTGGCTCATCAGTCAGCACTGCAAAAGAAATCAAAATCAATTGAAATCCCCCCATTTCAGCAAGCTGAGTATGAACGCGAGTAGGCGAGTGTGCAGCTTGATAACGCACCCCCTTCGTAGAGTCACTGTTTGCTCACCTCCCCATCCAATTTCCATTGTGAGAGCCTCTCAGGCCATCTCCTCTGATGGGCAGTGCTCCACTCAGGGGAATTTGGACAGACACTCAGAACAGCAACATTTTGGAGCTGAGTAATCTACAATAGAAGGAAGAGGAAGATAAGCGCATTGTTAGTTTCTGCTCATACGCAATCAGAGCAGACAAAACATCCATCATTCTGTACAATATTAGTCTTTAAATATTCAGCTTTATCAGTTCCCCCATTCCTAATCCATCATTAACCACCCCATAAAGTCTCAGATGATTAGCCCCACCTCTGCAGCTCAGCAAACCATTAACTATTTATTATTTGTATTTAATTGAACATCAGTAGCGGTAGAAAACTCCAACCAGACACATTTCAGAACCAGAACAAAGGAGATCATCCCCTGCCTAAGGAATTCATGTTTTGGACAAGAGTGAAGTGCAGCAAAGAGGAAATGACACCCATGCTGAACAAAGGCTTATCCATGTACCCTCTGTTAAATTCCCCATCACACAAATTTCTAGATTTTCTGTGGATTTATTTTCAATGAGTTCCATCTCCTTATCCCTTAAAATCAGAGAAGATTATGGGATTTTGGAGGGTCCTGCAAGAAAAAAATGGTATTTTTTATGTTAGGTGAAAAATTATTTGAAAAACTCTCCCTAAATCATGGAACAGTTTTCAGGTAGTGATATAAACTAGGGATTATAGTCATAGGAAACTGGCAAACAGACACAACATGCACATTTTATGTGGACTTAAATAAATAGAAATGGATTTCTCAGTTAAAATGCTTACTTCTTGGGGATTATATATATGTAATTTATGAAGTGTTATTTATATTTTGCTGGTTTCTGTTCACATGCATAATCAAAACATAAATACAATTCTAAATGTTTTTTTTTTCTGCTGGTAGTCCTGGGTTTGGACACATTTTTCTTTCTTTCTCTTTTTATTACTTAGAGTGGAAGCTAAGGCTGGCTGCACATTTCTTCTGAAGTAAATTTTGTAGAAGAAATCAGTGTCTTTGTTACCTCCACCTGGGTTTCTGTACCTTTCTATTTGTGAGTCCCCTTTGAAACATGCCTGAAAGATCCAGTTCCCAAGAAAGCCACTACCCACTCCCTGAGCAGAGCTGCACAGCATGAACAGTCCACACCAGAGACTCAGCACTGGCTTGCTTGCTGTTTACTGATCAACTTTAAAGCCCAGAGCACTGGAGGAAAGTTTTCTAAGGGACTTCTCTACCCCTGTGCCCTCTCACTGCCTTGCTACCAGGTGGAGAGTAATGCCTGTCTGGGAACCAAGCTCAATATATTAAAGTGAACATGGATGACACAGAAAATGTTTTTTTCAGTTTGAGTTGGAAAACTCAAGTTGAAACCATTTGAATCCATCCTTGCAATTCTGTGTCTGAACAAAATAATGTATTTTAAGTAGCACTGACTAAATGGCTTTGAGGAAATTAAAACCTATCCATCTATAATATACTGTGCTAATTATATTCTTTACCCCAGTCTAGGTAAATGCTTCTGTTAAAAATAGGTATTTTCCAATACTATTCCCTCTGCTTTTGAATTTATCCTGATGCCAGTCTGTTGGAGACAAAAGTGATGACTCTCAGGGTACAAGGGGTGATGCCTTTATATTTACCTAGCACTCGACTCACTTGCATCTGTTCTCCTTTTAATCCCTGTAATTAAAATGCCTGCCTGCCTCTTCAGTACGTGCTCTAAAATAGTTCATATTTGGACATCACAGCAATCATAGTTGCTGCTGCAGAAGGACAAGAGGAAGAACAATTGACTTAGGCCAGCACAGTTAAGTAACCTATGCAAGGGAAAACATAAGCTACTAATGCAAAATAGAATATGAGAGCATTGAGTCAGATGAAAGGAACATTTAAAGTAGTACAGCCTGTCTCCCATAAGAGCCAGAATGAAATGATTCAGGCAATAGTTGAGAAATGATGCAAATATGGAGAAATAAGTTCTGTGGTATGTCCACCCAACTTCCACCTGACTGCACTTTGGGGACTTCTTGAGCCAGATGCTCTGTCAAGTCCATCATGTTTTATAAATGAACATGGAGTGATTTCTCAGATCATCCAAGTCTGGCTTTTTCAAGCTCTTCTTTGAATCTGTTTGGACCTAATTCCCTCCAAACGTCCTGTGGACACTGTGTTCCCCAGGTTTTTTTAATGTGTTATGTGGAAGAACCCCACTTCATTTAATTTATTTTAAGCTTCCTATCCACGGCCAGAACCAATGAGGAATGCCCAAACTAGTCTAAAATAATCTTGAACAACATCTCCATCCATTTCTGTTTTATTAATTCCCCTTGTCTTCCTTCTTTCCTCTGTAATGCCCTCTTTCTTTTTTCCTAATTTCTGGAGGCTGTCACAAGCTCTAAAGGCATCTAATTTACAAATGCATGTCTATCACATAGCAAAATTCAAATGATTGAAAGCACAGCAGTCCTTCAGGGACACAGTCTTCTGCAATGATGTCACTTACTTGTAAGTTTAGTCTTAAACTTTGGCACCTCAGTTGCTTTCTGAGTTCTTGAATGACAGTGACCTGATTTTCAGAGGTGCTTAGCACCCACCAGGTCTCCGGGGGAGCTGCAGGCACTCCACAAGCACAAGAGAAAACTTTTATGCAAAGCATTTGCCTGACTCTGGGCACTCAAGTATTAAATTGTTACTCTGGATTCAGCTTCACAGTGTAGTGACACAGGAAATCGTCAGCCCTGGAGTGAAATTAAGAGCCTTAGGACTGGCAGTACAACCCTTACTTATGGTGATTTAAGGTAAGTAGTACTCTTTAATTAAATATTCCTAAATGTGAATCTTCCCTTTTTTTTTTTTTTTTTTTTTTTTTAGGATCAGTGGCAAATGCTACAGAGAAGAATCATCCTACAAGTTTTACATACTATAAATGTACAGATTTGCTATATCAGGAGTCCTGCTGGAACATCTGATTTTCAGCTTTGTATCTGTTTCCACAGTAAAACACCAAAACTTCAACTTACATTTTCACCTGCACAATCATCTAATAGATACACTTTCCATCTACCCTATAATTTTTTCTCTTTCTCTGTTCCTCTCTTGGAACTTGTTCAGACCTATTCTCTAGCCAAAAGTGGGTGGGTTTCTTTTCCTTCAGTGTACTCTTCTTTGCATTTCTTTTTGCTTTCTCACCACCTTTCTATGTGTCAGCCTTGTTCCATTTCTTCTCCCCAGTGGCATTCAGAACTCCTGCTACTTTCATACACTCTCACCATTTTAAGCTGCTTTCCCACATGCTGCCTTTCACGGAACACCTTCCATCCACTGATTTCCAAAGCACAGATGCTTGTTCGCTTTCCATGATGGCAACAACAGCTCTAAAGGAAACATATCGTTTCCCCTCCTGCAATTCATGCACAAATGCCTGGCATGTGCTGCCTGGAGAAAGCCTTTCAACTTTGAATTTCCTTGCTTTTGTGGAATCTGTGAAAAAGTCTGATAAATTACAGCTTTGGCAGTTATTTCAAATAACTTTATTTGCAGCCAGCTGAGGTAAAATCTGTCAGTGGTGCCATCCTCGTGTTCTTTCAAAGGTTGTTGGTGTTTCATGAGGGAGCTCAAAGTCAAGCTGGTTCAAAGGGAGGCTCACATTTCATTTTTTTCCAGGAAGGGTAACTTACACATTCTAATGGTGACAGGACTGTCTTACAAGACATAAGAGCTGAGTTCTAGTTGAGGCCATGAGTCTCTTCCAGTACATGTGTTTTGTCACTTTATCTCTCGCCTGATGATTTCTCATCTGTGAAACAGCTGTAATACTAACTGGTAGCTGTAATATTAGTTAACAACAGACAAGAAGACCCCAACTAATCATATGGGTGGCAAGGTTTTGGAGTTGGCCTTGGACCTGGTTTTAGTGTTGGCAGTTTGGGCAAGGCCAGTGAACCTCAGTCTGCATCTCCTCTCACCATGGCTCAAGAGACACGAGCTGTGACACACAGCATGCAGCAGGCCACTTCTCACATTGTCCTGAGGGCCAAGAGGAAGAAATAATACAAAGCCTTGGCTTTGTAAGCCACTGCTGCCTGAGCTTGCAGGAACTGTGGTGCACCTGGGGACCTCTCATGATACTCAGAATAAACACCAGCATGGCGGGGTTTGCCCTGTGCGTGAGCAGGATTTCAGTGCATGCTAATGAAAATAAGCACAGTGTTCCTGACCCTCTACTCCCAGAAGCTGTCCAAAGCTGAAGTCTCGTGGGAAGCCTTTGCTGAGCCATCTGGGTGGATGGAAGCTGTATGTGACTGTCTCCCATCTACACCCTCTGGTGACCTGAAAACCAGCGGTGAGAACATGTCAATTCTGCTCTAGCCAGTAGCACTGTGAAAAGGAATCGATAACCACACTGGACTTCAAGAACCTTGGGTGGAGAAGGATGATCATCTTTGAAGGGAAAAGATCCTGCCTGTGTAGAGAAGAATTCTCAGGACTGTCTTTGAGCAAAATCTACTTATGGTAAGAGACATAGATTATTATCATTAATGTTACATGCATTATTTAATTAGGAAAAGCCACACAGTTAATGAAAACAAAATATTTCCAGCTAATAGTATTACTAATTACCTAAAAGATCATGAATCAAAACAAATTTAATAAGATGCAGGAGAAAAGGCTGACAAGAATCTCATGAATTTCAGCAAAGAAATGTGAAATCCTGCACGCAGATCCGAACAATATTTGTGGTAACAAAGCTGGGGAAGCAGGTAAAAAGCAGCCTTGCAGGGAAAGCCCTGGGGACCCTGGTATTCAACAATCTGAACAGGAGCCAGCAGTGCAGCCTTGCAGCAAAGATTCCTGGGGTGCATTAGGAAGAGCACTGCTGGCAGGTTAATGGATGTGGTCCTTCCTCTCTACTCAGCTCTGGTGAGACACACCTGGACAGCTGGGTCAAGATCAGAGCTCCACCATGTCAGAGAGACATGGACACACTGGAACAAGGACAGTGGAAGGCCATGGAGATGATACAGGGACTGAAGCATCTGTTGTTTGAGAGGCTGAGACATTTGGAATTGTTTAGCAAGAAGAGAAGGTCCAGGGAATGTACGATCAATGTGTTTAAGTACCCGAATGAGGGGAGGGAAGTAGAAAAGACGGAACCAGGCTTTTCTCAGTGATAGGACAAGAGGCACATGGGCACAAATTGAAGTTCACCAAATTCCATGTAAGCATAAGAAAAAGTTTGGGTTTTTTTTCACTATGAATGTGGTCAAACACTGGAAGCGGCAGCCCAGAGATGCTATGGAACTTTCATACTTACTCAACACATGACTGGACACAGAACCAACCTGCCCTGCTCTGAGCAGCAAGGTTGGACTGTGTGATCTCCAGAGGTCTTTTCCAATCCCAGCAATTCTTTGATTTGCTAGGTATGTGCCCCATCCTAGTCCTGAATATATCTCTCTTATGCATGCCCAAGATATGTTTGGAATTTTTGACAGACTTTTCACCACATCAATGTGAAGTCATTGCCACTGTATATTAGGATATGTAAAATTAATGTAAATATGACTGAGAAGATCAAGAGATTGAATCACATGTCATGTAGGATTCTGGTGGATGCTGGCAGGAAAACAAGCATTACAGTAGAAGAGTAATTGTCAAATAATGACATGTCAAAGCTCAACTTTTACCAACTCTAAATCATTTAGTATAGATGAGTGTAGTTCCCTTGACATGTTTCTTTGGGTCCTGGAAAGAAATGAATAACCCACTGTATCTTGTATATGCAATGCAGGGGGTAATTTGGACAAAATGATGTAATGTTTTTGAAAACATGACAAGAAAATTAAGGATGAAGAAACTCCAGAATGACTTTATGAATGAAAAGAACCTGCAATTGCTTTCCATCCCTTGACAGATGTTACTTAAACTGACATACTATATCATGCAACAAAGCTTACAGGGGAAATACAGGATTATGAGAAAATGTATAAACCACTATCATTATTGTAAAAAATTCTTTTATTCTACACAGAGAGACAAAAAGAGTAGGGATACTTTTTAGGAAGAACTTGATGTAGACTAAGTTACCAGTATTTTCAGGAATTAGCAAAACAATCTATTTTTTAAAAAAAGAGTGAAGTTAAAAAGAAGGGAGAACTTTCTGCTGTATCCCAATCTCACACAATCTTTCCCCCTCTTCTCCTGCCATTGTAGCATCTGGAAGTCTTGCCTATTTTTAAAGTAAAACCAAGAAGACTCTCTCTTGCCTTCTGCTGTATGGAGAAGTAAAATAACCAGAAGGGGAGGAAACAGTTGTTGTCAAGAAATGTTAGGTGAAGAAATGAATAAGCCTTGTCTATAAACATTCTCAGTTCGCCTTAGAGGGAGGTTTACAGCTTAGGACTGTTGCAGGGAGCACAAGTCTCCACCCCTCACCAGTTCCCTGCTTTTGATGTGGTAAAAAAACAGGGACACAGCACACATGGAGTGAGGAGGGTGCCTCAGTACCTCAGACCTTCTCCAAAGCAGCTTTTGGAGATCAGCATTTTAGGTGTCAGCACCAATGAAAGAAGAAACCCTCAGGAAAGTAGGGCTTAGTTTATGCTCTTACCAACCTGTATGACAGACCAAGTAGAGCACCATTTTGGACCAAATGAAACTTCAAAAACTCACAAAGTCTCTTTTTAAAAGATTAATTTCATTCTGAGGTACAGACCTTAGCTGTAATGAAGCTGCAAACCCATAGTTTGTCACAGCCAAGTTCAAGTCTGGTATAATGTATCTAAGATTTTTGCCCATCCATAGGTCCTTTATTTTTCTCTACCTGATTTTTGGCATTGCATTCAATATGAAAGCATCACAGAAGAGTCACTGAATAACCAGAGTGGATAGACAGAGTGTAGCTGTAGACAGATGATAAAGATTTTTCCCCACAGTCAATACTGTGTCCGGGACATATTTTTACTAATTTGTTTTTTAACGTGTTGCTACCTTATAAAAAGGTTTAATATTGATTGATTTTTAATAGCATGGGTGTTCTGTTGTGCTAAAGACTTGTTCTTACTTACTTTTGTTGTAAAGAACATGAGAAAATAAACAGGAAACAAAAAGGCATTTTAACAGGACACTTGGAAGTATTTAACGAAGAATGAAAGAAACAAGTTAACTTTTCTTTCTGTTTATCAAATTATGTGAGGATTCAGGCCAAAAGAGCAATTGTTATTAATAACATAATAAGTTAAATAAAGTTTCTCTCTTTTTGCCAGAAATTTCAAAAAGCATTAATGATGGTAAGGCACTGTCTTGCCAATAATTCATACAGATTTGACATTGATACCCTAAAGCAGCACCAAAAAAAAAAAAATTCATCAATATTAAAATATCTCCAAACATTTCCAGACCTTTGTATTTGGAAAGCCGCCACTACTCCCATTTCAACTGCCATACTGAGTCTGCTTTGCAAATGCTACCTCTTGACATTTTGCAGAACCACCTCTAATCGTCGAAGGAAGCTCTGGATTGAGATTAGTATCCACAGCAGAAAGGAATCTACAGACACTACTGTGTGCGAGTAATGTTGTGGGCGCTCGTCCAAGCTCAGGAACGAGTGGAATGTACCCCTTCTCCAAGGTATGGATGAAAAAACATCACTGAAGTGGAAGTGGGGTTTGGGTGGAACTGAAGCAAGAGAGAAGCTCATATATATGTTTTCCATGTGTATGAAAATGACTGTCTACTTATTAAAAAAATATATTGGGAGCCAATATTTTAATTATTCACTGCATTTATTTTCTTCTGATGGCATAAATAATCTATCATCTTAGCGTGCCAAACAAAAAGTCAGAGGAACATTTCCACTTCAAGTCAAACAAAAAAAAATATATAAACCAACGTAATGGAACTTTTCTGTGCACTCACATAATGAATTTCTTTGTTTAATTAAACACTTCAGCAAACCAAATACCTGAATTTAAATTGCTGTTTATTATGGCTTCCCCTCTGATACAGGTGAAAGACTGCATAGACATATGTTTTCCACGGTGACTGGCATTACCAAGCAACCTGATGGAGAGCTGACAACACCTTGGCAAGCAGAGAATAATAAGGTAAATTATCAGCAATATTAAGAGAACCCAGTTACGAGCCTCACCTTTACTTTGGCCTGCGACGTTACTGGCTGTTACTTGGGGAAAAAAAAAATAGACAACAGCCTCCCTTTTTACCTTCAGCTTTCTCCCTGCGTGTGTGGGTGGACGTGAGGGTTTATACGTGCATAATCGCACGCAGACTGGTGCTTAAACACGTTTCGGTGTCCGAGGCTCCATGATGCGTTTCCCACCGCGCTGGGAAGGAGAGGGACAGGAGGGGGAGCTCTCGCCGCAGCCGCCGGGCGGGGATGCTGCTCCTCGGGCCGGACCGGCGGGGCCGCGGCCCCTCCGCCTCCCGCCGGGCAGCACCGGGCTCCGGGGATGGTCCCGCTTGTCCCGGTTTTGCCTCTGAAAACCGGCACGTTGTTTCTAGAGTGGCCCCAGAGCACCGCTCGCTTGTTGCTGCTGCCTTCTAAAAACCTTTCGCTTTGAAGCCGTCGTGCTGCTTACATATTTAGCAGCTGGAAAAATCAGACCTGCTTGTTTATCTCGTCCTCCCCAGCAGGAAAAAACCGAGAAGAAGTAGCTCATTAATAATATTAAAGAGACTTATGCATTAATAAAGGCCAAAATAAAGAACTTGGAGAAAAGTGTTTATTTTGTGTTACCTAAAAAGCAGCTCTGGTATGGGGATAGATCCCCTTTTAAAACATTTAAACATTAATAAATAGAATATAAACAATAGAATATAAATTAAACCTGGGGTGATTTATTTTAGGCAACTCATTTGCACATGTAATTTTATATGATGCTTATTTTTCAGATGTCCAAATTACTGTGCTTGCAAAAAACCCAAGTGCAAATTCAGAGCTGGAAATAAATCTGTGATAGAACAAAAATAAGGAGTTTGGTAAAACATGGAGCCTTGGGTGTAGAGCATGTGCTTGAGCAATGGAAGGAAAAGCTCAGGTACTTGCCACGACTTAGAGACCACCAGAAGGTGGACTCCCATAGTTTCTTCCCAACTTTAAAAGTGACCAAAAAGCCAACCAGCTTCAAACCCTTGAACCATCATGACAGCAAGAGACTTTCTCTACTGCACTGTAGTTAGAGCACACTCTTTAATAGAGTGTCTAATAGAATGATTTTAAATCACGTTCAAAATTTCACAAGGAATTTGGTCTCATTAAACTCAGGAGTGAAATCTTCACTGATTCCCACATGATCAGGGTTTCCTCTTTGGCTGCAAACTGCTTACTGATACTACATACCCCAGTATCTCTGTCTCCTAAAATAAATCTGAGCAGTTCTACTGATCCAATATGTCACCTTTATTCACCTGTTTAAGATGTTTGCAGAATCCATATTGAGAACTACAGAAACAGGATTCTTTACTGAAAATACAGGTTTTTATACAAAAAATATGTGGTACTGCCACAGTTCAGTAAATGTGTTTAATGTTAGGGTGCCTGTAATGTAAATAGCAGATTTATTTTCTCATAACTTTTTGGAGATGTTCAGATCAATGCCATTGTATGGCTGACAAATGTGTGGCTTCCATAGATTCTGATATTCTGCCTCCCCTTATGAATTCACAAGTTACCACTAAAACCTGAAAGTGTTCTTTTTTGTTAGTCATTCCCTAACACTTAGTAACAAGTGGAATAATTAGATGGTTTCCAAAACTTATTTCAGTACCTCCGATGTGTGTCAGATAATGTCTGAGCACTCTAAATGCATGAACTTCTGTGTTGACAGCTGATGGTCCTCCATATGCTGCCACTAGAAGAACAACTTCCTAAGAATATGCAGTGTAATAATATGCAATACATAAAGGTAATAACATCTCTAGAAAAGTAGGAATCGTGACAGTTGCAGAAATAACCGGCTGTGAGATGGAGATATTATTATTAGGACACAGAGAGGTAGAACTTTTGTATCTATCCCAGTCCTACATTAAATACTGAGATAAACAGGGCATGTTTTAAGACTGTGGCTTTCATCTGGTGGTTGACAAGGTACTGGGGGACTGGAAGTTCTTTTTAAAGAGCTTACCAGAAGTAGCTGAGAAAACGAGCCTACTGTCAGGAGAAATAAGTTCACATCTCCATTCAAAAGTATGCAGAAAAATACTGTGAAAAAACCCCAGCTGAATGCCGTTACTTTTGGTGATCAAGAAGTGAGAATCAGCATTCAGAACTGGTAGCAAAAGGGGTGGGAAGTGCTTCAATTTGCAGCCAAACCTTCAGATGCTAGTCAGGAAAACTGGAATGACAGACTTGATCCCGAAGAAAATTCATTCTGCTCTACTCACTGTAACCTGCTGTAGTCACATCACCTAGGCTTGCAAATACTTTCTGCAAAGTATCTTCCAACATTAAAGGAAGTTCTGTTTATGTTGGGAGTTTGAGATTAATCTTTTTGTCAGATTGTCGACTCAAACCTGTTAAATTTATGCAGTGCTTAATGAAACAGTGTCAGGGCTTTATTACGATACACATAGTAAGTGTTGAGAAGCAGTCCTCTGATGTTTCATTGAACAAGAAGCATTTGAGGCAGTACTCTATTTAGCAAGAAATTTTAAGGTTTTCCTTAAAACTCTTCCATCCACTCTAGAGAGAAACTAGCCATATGTCTAGTACAAGATCTAGTTTTGTCCTTTTCATTAGAATGACACTGTATCAGCAAGGTGGTGGCTGTTCGAAGCAGAAGTCATTTGAGGCTGGCTGGCTTTTTCCAGCCAAAGGTTTCAAAGAGCCATGTGAGTTTGTGTTTAAAAGCAACTTTCCCTTGTGCTGTCTGTCTTATTGTGCAAAAGAATACACTGAGATTCTAGGAATATCTCCTGTACTTAATGAGAGCTTAACTGTACCCATTTGTTTGTAATAGAATACGGTAAGCAAAACACAGAGGTGAGGTTGGTGGTGGTGGTGGGGCACGGGAGGAGGGAAACCTCACTACTAAGCACCATCCTTTGAAGGTTACCTGTAGTGAAAAGTTAGTTTCCACAAGTTTTAGAAATCACTGTATTTTAAAATACTACAAGCAAGAAAAAAATAAACCTTGTTTTCTTCTCATGCTTGCTGCTTGGTGGGTGTGAGCCCAGACCTTGTGTTCCTGGGGTGTGCAGAACCGACTGAGCCCACAACACAAGCCCTGCTGCGGCTGAACTCCTGCAACTCTTTGCTGCCAGCACAGCCTTCTCGAGGGTCTCTGCGAGGTCCTGCTGCTCTGCGAAAAACAAACGATCAGGGCTGGGTTTTTTCCAATATCTGCCTGATTCTCTCAGGCAGCGAGGGGAGTGGCAGCACCTTCGCCTCGCAGCGGCCGTGACCTTACCACTGCGGATGTGCTGTAGGATTTTACAGGTTCAGTCTGGTTGCTATCTCATCTTTTGATGCTCGATGCTCTAACAGCTGAGACTGTGCAAAATCCCCGTTTCTTCTTATTCTCAAAGTCACAGGGGAAAATGTTCCCCGTGTCTCTAGAAATCACTCTGACAGGCAGGCAAGGCTCATTTTAGTAACGAAACGAACAAAGTTGTGCTCAACTTTTCATGCTAAAAAGTGCCAGTGATTTAAAGCTTCGGAAACAGAGAATGTAAATTAAACATTGTTGCACACAAACCGAACTTGTGTTTGACAGGCTAAACAGAGATTTTTATGGGGAGCCTACTCATGCCCACACGGAACGCAGTTCATCTCTCGACTGTGGGTTTGGGTGTTTTTATAAAAACCGTATCATTTTAAGGTGCACCGCAGTTATAATGAGAAACCCCGTACGATTACAATTTTGACTATCGGAACAATGGACACCCCCGTGCCGTAATGTGTTCTATCGGGTAATCAGGGACTGCCACGGAAAGCGGGAAAGCAGAGCCTAGGAATAATCAATGTATCGCCCACAGTGTGTGCTGTAATCCGGCACCTCCTCGCTGAAGCGCGTCCCACCAAACCATTCATCCGCACCTCCCCGCCGCAGATAAAGGGAAAACCAGGAGTGATCAGCGGAAGAGCCTCGGCTGAAAGCGGCGGGGACGGGACGGGACGGGAGCGCTCGGGACGGGCGCTGTCGGGACGGGACGGGACGGGACGGGTCGGCTGCGTAGGGGGCACAGACCGGGCGGCCGCCTCGGGTGTTCGTGGGGAGCACCGGGCTCCCCTCCCCATCCCGGGCTGGGGGCGGGGGCGGGTGCGCACCGCCCCCTCCCCTCCGCCGCGCTCCGCTCCGCCCGGTGCTCGGCGCCTCCCCCCTCCCCGGCTCCCATGGCGGGCAGCGGCGGCCGATTCGGTGCCGGCAAGCCCCGCCCGCCGGCGGTCCGGGGCCGGCCTCCCCCTTCCCTCCGCCGCCCCCTCCGCGGCAGCCCGCCAGCAGCGCCACAGCAGGCGCGGGGCCGGCTCGCTCCGCGCTGCCTCCCGCCCGCCCGCCCCGCCGCTCCCATGCGGGCCGGCGGCGAGGCAGAAGATGGCTGACTCGCCGGGGCACCCGCGCCCCTGCCCGCCCGCGCCCCCCGCCCGCCCGCCGCCGCCGCCGCCGCCGCCGCGCTCCCCCCGGGCCCTCCGCGGCGCCGCCTGCCACCACTGAGAGCCGCCGCCGCCGCCCCCCCGCGCCCCTCCCGGCCCCCCCAGAGCACCAGCAGCCATTTCATCTCCACCACCACCACCACCAAGTAGGCGCAAAAAATGGCAGAAATGGAGAAAGAAGGGAGACCTCCCGAAAATAAAAGGAGCAGGAAGCCGGCTCACCCGGTGAAGCGGGAGATCAACGAGGAGATGAAGGTAGGTGCCTGTGATGGGGACGGGAGCGGGGTCCCCCCCCGCACCCCCCGCCTCCGAGCATGGAGATGAAATAAGAAAGGATCTCTTGTCATTTTTTTTTTTTTGTAGGATGCACTGAATGTGTCTCAACTCCGCCTCCTGGGCTGCAAACAGAGACGAATTCACAGGCTGCAAATCCTGTTCATTGACCAGCTTTATTTATTTTTTAAAAATAACTCTCTCGTTGGGCTTTTAAGCTCCTCGGGTGCCAATGATGAGCCTTTTTTTTTTTTTTTCTCCTCTTTCTTTCTATAGCCACCCCCTCAGGTAGCCGCGAAGCCCTTAAAGTTAGGA